TGTCAGATTTTAATTGAAAAACTTAAATACTTTTGGTCTATCAAAATGAGAAAAAAATCAACTTTATAGAAACCTAGAGTTTCTCAATGCATTTTATCCTAAATCTTACCCACAAGTTATTTTTAAATTCAAATTAATTAACTAAAGTGGATCCAGGATGTGAGCTCCATATGTGGAAAGTGTTAGGCTGGCATAACTAGCACTAGTTTGAGTTTTACATGCTAAGAGTGCAAACGACAAGAAAGGTATAAACAAAACAAAGAAGATGTGAAAAGAAGAATAGATAAATTAAAACTGAAAAACAAACACTGACTACAATGTTGACCTGAAATAAACTTTAAGCATGAATTAAATAGAGTTACCAAAAGCTCACTCATCTAGAATGCTCAATCAAGAAATGGGTATTACTCAAACTCACAAAATATAACAAAAGAACAAGTAATAAAAAGAGTAGCCTCTATGGCCAGAAAAACACCAGAGTAGCCTTGGTAGTTCTGTGTCTCAAGATCACTAAGCTAACATCTAATACAGCATGTATTAATAGAGTGTGTTCCCAAAAGTTTTGGAACAAGGAATTAAATTGAGAAAAAATCACAAACATAAAATTCTTTTCCAAAAAAAAAAAAAGAATGGGGAGAATGAGGGAGGGGAAGAAAGTATACTCTCACCAGTTTAGTAGAAAAGTGCAAACCCAGAAACAAAGTATTATTGGTCCCTTGCAAATATTAAGACAACTAGCAGAATCAAAAACTTTACACATCAAACATTGAGAAGAGGTTAGACAAATATGATCACAGCATCTCTGCTGGTGTTTCCCCAATCAAATCATCTAAAATTTACACACTTGCAGTTTTATAATATTGTGCAGATTTGCTAAGTTAAGCTTCAATGTTTGCAATGAAGAAGAATGCTACTTTTCTTTTCTTTTCTTTTTCTTTTTCTCCAAATTAGTATTTATTTAAGAACCAAATTCATTTGTAAAAATTCCAATCTCCAATTTGTTAACTGAATAATAAAAGAAACCCAATTTCAATTTCACTTCCAGAAAAATGTAAACAAACAAATACAAGAAATCTCCAAACAGAATCATATTGTCCATTTAGAACAGGTAATGCAAACCCACAGAAAAACTACAAGACCAAGGTAAAGAACAAGTAATACCTTAATCGGTGATTGGATTAGGATGACACTTGCCTGAACTGCATTTCCATTGACCCTACTAATCTGAAACCCAGCTAAATAGATGTCTGAATTAACAAAAATCTAATAAAATCAGATCTGAAACAATTGCACAGTATCATTCATAAAAAGTCTTGAAATCCACTCAAACAATTCAAATAAGAAATTAATTCCATTAAAAAAATCTCCCAATGTTTCTAATGTTTTATTTCTAAAATCTTTTATTCTGTATAATTTTTTTTTTCCAATTTTCTATTTCTTTGTATTTTTAACAATTTCAATTTCTGTTTTCAATTTTTTTTATACATTTTAAGACTTTAAATTGCTTTGGCATTTCTATGTTTCTTTTTAATAATTACCAAAATTTAGAAATGAAACCTATAAAAACCAAATGGAGATCTAAACCTATTAATTATGTAAGACCAAAGCTAATACAAACCCATTAAAAGAAAACCTTCAGACCCATTAACAAATTTAACTAATCGGTTTGCACCCCATCAGTCATCAACAAGAAAACCATAAAGAAAAGAAAACCCGAAACATGCCCCGAAATTTCATGGATCAAAGACATCTTTCTGGGAAAATCTAATTACTATACAAACACAGAAAATCCAAATGTGATAGATACCCCTACCAATGTTTGCTTTTTTGTTTTGATTTCCTGAATCAATGCCAACACCGCCAGAACAGAAACATCATATATGGAACAAACATTAATTTAATCAAAACAAATCAAACATTGAATTAATCAAATTACTTAGAAACTAAACATGCAAGCAATAATCGAAGAAACAAATTAAAAGAAACACAGAAAAACATTCGCAAGGAACTTAGTACTCGTCCCGATTGGCTCAAGTAAATTTCATAGTAATAAACATGAGGAAATTTCAGATTTTAAATGCTCAGTTGATCAAAGGAGAACCCCAAATCACCGAATGCAGAATCAATTTGGTAGCAACAAATTTCCTCATGCCAATGCCTACTAAAAAATTTTCAGAACAGAAAATACAGAAATACCTGAGAAGAATCAAACCAGTCAGGGTGGAAGAATTACAAGTCCTTCTCCTCTTCTAATTGCTTTGTTCCTCCACCGCTCTACCCTTCGTCTCCCCATCACTGAATTTTTTTCTGATGAGTCAAAACATCTGGTTATTATTTATTTATTTATTATGATAAAATAGGATAGGATGTGCTTGGGCTGAGAATTAAAAAAAAAAAAAAATTTTGTCATGGGCCACAATAAATGGATTACAGAATGTACAGTACATCTTATTGATGTTGCTTAATTTATTATTATTACATTTAATTAGGGTATGTTTAGAATTTTATATTATTTTACACTACAATTTATATAAAATTTTGATTTTTTTTTTTTTTTTTTTTATCGATTATGCATTTTGGAAGAATTTTGATATTGAAGTGATCTTAGCACTACTTGATTATAGCTGGCTATATTATTTTCTTTTAATCATTGGTAAGAAGGTATTTCATATTTTATTTTGTATTTTCTGATATGTGCATATTTTGGCTGAGTTTGAACTGTTGACCAAATTTACTTGGTTCTAGAGGGAAGAAATCAGATTCATGGTTGAAAGAGACGGTTCTGCCAAAGGAATTGTCTTTAGCCAGTTCACATCCTTCTTGGATCTAATTAAGTACTCCCTCCAAAAGGTAAAAGAATGGAAAAAAATGAAAAAAAAAGGAAGGAATACCATTTCCTTTTAGTTTTCTCTCATACGTCAAGAAGAATAATCATTGTAATGTGATGGATGAATTTTTCAGTCTGGTGTAAAATGTGTTCAATTGGAAGGAAGTATGTCTCTTCCTGCAAGAGATGCTGCAATCAAAACATTTATTGAGGATCCAGATTGCAGGATTTTCCTCATGAGCTTGAAAGCTGGAGGTGTCGCTCTTAATCTTACAGTTGCATCCCATGTAAGCAATCTGTAATTCCTTATTCATTTTCAATTTAGAGTCCCATACCTGATTTGATTGATTTTGGAGTTTTGGCTGATGCCTTTATACCATTATAGGTCTGTGTAACCAAAATACATGGGCTCCATTTAGTAAATTCTGTTTAAACCTCGGTAGTTGTGGTTGAGTTTTTGGTTTTGGTTTTCATAAATTTTGCAACCACTGAAACCAAAACTAAAATTTGTTTAAGATGAGGTTTAATACTAACAACAGAAATATAAACTTGTTTAATAGTATTAGAACTATTTTTTTTCTTTTTTCTCTAAAAATCATAATTATATGTTGTGTAAACAAATGAAAGTAAACAAGTGTTTTTGTTTAGAGTTGCAAAATATATGAAAACCAAAACGAAAAACCCAAAACCACAACCATACTGAATGGGGCTTTAATTGTTCTCAATTTAATGAGTACTCAATTTAATGAGTAGATATTTTAACTGTTTGTAATATGGATCAATCAAGAGAGGGGGGTTGTCATCCCATCATCTGTTTAAACTGTGAACTGTTGATAAATTGATACTAAATAATGGTTTCATGGATGGAAACATATCCAGGTCTTCTTGATGGATCCATGGTGGAACCCAGCTGTGGAGAGGCAAGCTCAAGATAGAATTCACCGAATAGGGCAGTATAAGCCAATCAGGTTCCACTTCTATCTGGCACATGTCTTTGTGTTTAGAGTTAGGTCATTCTTTTATTGACTCTGCTAATACTTTATCATAGGATTGTGAGATTTATCATTGAGAACACAATCGAGGAGAGGATTTTGAAACTGCAAGAGAAGAAAGAATTGATGTTTGAAGGGTAAATATGATTTTCTTGTTTGCTCCAAGTATTATCAATTTGTGTGTTATGTGCCGATTACCTGACCCTTCTTTTGGTATTTACAGGACCATAGGTGGCTCTTCAGAGGCTTTAGGGAAATTGACAGAGGCAGACATGAGATTTCTGTTCACCAATTAAACAAGGTTCCACCCAAATTGAAGCAAAGAGAGAGTTGCATTTAGACAACTTACCAGTCCACAACCAAAGGACTGGGTGTTCGTGGTTATTAATTCTCTCAAATGAACTTCTGATTTTTGTCATTAGTAATTTGGGTTAAACAGCTTTTGTTTTTTGTTGAAGATAACTTTTTGAAGACATGTTATTAGTATTTCTAATGCGTGGACCTTCCTCTTAAGATGAAAATCATGGGGAAAAAACATTTATGATAATATAGAATAAATGGATGGAATTGATGGCGTGGTTCTGCTGTCTTCATGACAGCATGGTAGAATATGATGATGAATGATGGTAAAATATGATGATGTACCCACGCCACTGCTCCTGATGCCTTTGCCTGGATGGGTAGCTCCAATGGCAATTTCTCCTCTTCCTCTCTGCCTACTGCTTGTTGAAGGACACCTTTATCTTGTTAAGGATAATTCCTGGCTTTGGATTTGAAAGTTGTGTACTTTTGTCTTTACCTAAGATCCAATCCTTTGCTACTTCTTATTTGTTTTTTTTATTTAATAATATTAATTTTATTAATTTTTAAATAAAAATATTAATTTTTTAAAATTATAATTTATACATATTTAATAACTATAATTAAACAATTATCATATTTAATGACAAGAGGCGTGTTGAAGAAAAAGATAAAAAGTGAAAAAGAAAACAGAAGGCCCGGATCAGATCAAATCCTATTTTTTAACCGTTCAAAAGTAAATAAATAAAATAAAATAAAAAACCACGAGACCGAGGCCCCGCTGGCTCTGTTCCAGTCGAAATCACTTTGGAAACAACCTGATAATCTAAGCCTCTTCACGATTCTTCTCTCCTTTTCCTCTCGACCCTTGTTTCTCCCGAAATCAATCTCCGGCGGTTGGTTTCAGACTGTTTAGATCATTTCCGTTCTAGTGAAGCCGCGACAGTTGATCTCCAGCACCAGATCCCTGCAGTTCAAGGCGGTTCGGTCGCCGCCGCTCGCATCTGTTTCTTGTTGATATCCAGCTGTTTGTTCTTGATTCCGGTGGCATTCAGTCCAGGTCTGGTGTTAGCTGCTCGAGAACAAGGCTCCGGTCATTTCTGCTCGATCTCTGCAACTCCGATCTCCCTCTCTCTTTCGGTAATCATTCTGAAATCTTAGAATTGTATCTCTTATGTCTCTTATCAATTTTGCGGTGAACTCGAATTTATTTTCAGTTACTTTTAGTTTATTTCATTCCAATTTCTCTGCTGAATCCGAATTGAAGTGTTTAGGAGATTGTGTGCCAACCGAAGTTTTCTTCACTGGGCATCCCCTTTCTCACTGTTTGCAGAGAAACGAGGCTAAATGTGTTATCTGTTTGATCTAATGTTGGATTTTGTGATTTGTGCTGTTTTCAATTGTTTAGCAAAAATTTAATAAAATCGGAAAAGAGTTTCTTGGTCTGCACTGTGTTCAATTTCCATTCATAATCTATAATTATTTTATTTTATTTTGTGTTTTCGTTGTTTCTTGTTGTGTTTTTAGGGATTATACAAGTAATTTGTAATTTTTCATTTCATTTTCTTTTATTGAAAGAACTAGCTCTTTCAATGCAGTTCACAATAATGTCCAAGTCTTGCAAGGGCCTTGCCATGGAGCTTGTCAAGTGCCTCAATGAATCTGATTGTGTCAAGGTCTCCTGTCCTTCTCTGTTTAGCCTTTCTAATTTCCTCGGTTATTTTCTTTTGTTTGTTTGTTTGATTTTATTGGTTTGTTGGCAGGTTCAGAAGCGATCCTACAGGGAATGTGCTAAAGAGAAAAGCCCCTTGATATCCAGCGAGTGTGTGGGACTCAGGGAGACTTATTTCAATTGCAAGAGAGGGCAGGCGCGTTTTTGTTTCTTCTCTCTTCTTTTTATCATTTCCTTTGTGTGTTTCTTGTATCCAATCTGAGTGAGAAACTAAGAAACAAAAGCCTACTAGGGTTGATTCCTAGATAGGAAAATTTTTGTTAATAGAAGAAGTTGGATTTGGGGGTATGGCTAATTTGTTTGTTGTGTGGATGAAAGAATTCTTTGGTGTCATTAACAGAGACCTGGTGTACAATGACAATTACAAAGACCTGGGGTAGTCTAGACAATTAAGTATAACCTAACACTTTCTGGCAGCTACTTTGGTTACATTTTTTTAACCCAAAAAAGGCACCTGTTTGGCTGGTTCTAGTTCTGTCTCGAGTTCACTAATGGTGTATTTACCCTGGTAGGAAGGACTCTGTATAAAGCATGTAAATAATTTAAGTGCATTTAAATTGTTTAAAGAAATACTTGTTGCCTAAATTTGCTTTTGTTGATAAGTTGTAAAACAAAATTAAATACAGTTAGCTGTTAATATATATAGTTCACTTATGTGTGGTCATATTTTCTCTTATGGACGGAGGAATGTGCACCTTACCAATTGAGAGCTCAAGGTTGCACTCCGTTGGATTCTTTATGTGGTTATTTTGATGATTTATAATTGTGAATGACATCAGAGGAGCTTTAGTAGTGTAGTAATTTAAAGATAGTTTTCATGATAGATATACTTGGATGCAGACAAATAGGGAAAAAGCAGGGTTAAGAATTTTTTTTTTTTTTTTAATTTTTGGTTGAGAATAAAAGCAGGGTTAAGATTGAAACAATCTATTAGGTGATGGCTTTAACTATAATGTTAAAATTGAGGTTTCGTTGCACTAATTCTTTGAGTGTTGGTCTTCCAGGTTGATATGAGAGCAAGGATTCGTGGAAACAAGGGCTACTAAATGGAGGGTAGTGATGCCAAATTTCTGCTGTTGTATCTTGTAGGTCGGAAAAGAGTTTTCATTTCTTGAGGAAAACAAAAATAAAATTGAAGAAACAGTCCTTTTTAAGGTCCATTTTGTATAGTGATTTGGTGGGAGGGAATGCCCAAATCCTGTAGACTTGACGAGGATGTCTTGTGTTTAAGTGGGGAGAAATTGTAATCCCCTATGTCAACATCAATTGTGAGTGGTATATAAGTGTCCATTTTTAACAATTTGAGTTGGGGGTTTTAATGCCTGTGGAGTTTACTTGGGGAGCTGTCAGTAAGTGTTATTTCAATTTTTGTTAGGTTTAATAGTAAATTTAGTTCCTAAATTTTCTCTTGATGCACCTTTTGGTCGTTGAACAAAATTTTTATACTTTTTGGGTCCCTAAAATTTGTCTCAGTGTACTCTTTCAATACTTTAGCAATTTGGTCCCTTCACTTGATAGCATGCACTTTTAGGGTCAATGAGCAATTCTCGGCCCTTTTTTAATTCCTGAATTTGATGATGTGCACTTTTTAGCCCTTTTAGCAATGAAAGTTCACGTGACCTATTTAATCAATTATAAAATTCATTTTCGTCAAACTTTTAAGAAAAGATGGGGGGATAATAATGGCTTGCCATCATTGAGGTCCCACTGCAAGAAATGGGAGGAGAAAGAAGGGCAAAAAGTTGCTCAGAAATGGATTTTAGTTCATGGAAAAAATAAGGAACTAAAAAAGTGTAAACAATTGATCAAATGATTGCATTTTATATGTCGTGGTCTAGTGATTATTTGTTATTTTAAAGGATAACTCATGGTCTACACTCTTAAGACTCGGGTTTAATACTCTCTATTAACACCTTTAACATACTAATTTTTAATTATTGCCTTTATAAAAAAAAAAAATGATCAATGATCAGAAAACTATAGAAAATTGTCTAATGACCAAAAAAGTACATTGAGTTAAAGTTTGGGGATAAAAGTTAGCATTAAACCTTTATATTACTGGCATGCCGTGTTTATTTCTCAACACTTAAGGTAGATTACAGAGAAATGTTGTCAAATGACAGGAAGAGCTTTGTTTTAGGTATCAAAAATGTTAACACGTAAAAAATAGATGAGAACAAATTCGATATTGATGATGAAGAAGAGGCAACCTACAAGGATTGAGAGAATAATATTTTTTTTTTATAAGGGCAATGATTAATAGATTAAAATTGTTAAATGTTAGTAATTGGGAATTCGATTCTCAGATCTAATGAATAACTCACCTGTTTTAATCTCAATGAAGCGCGTGGCCATCGAATCGTTTGGTAGAGTTCGAATTGAGAGACTAATAGAATAATAGGAAAGAAGAGGGCTAAGGAACGATGAAGGCAAGCAACTCCATTTAAATAAATTTCTTTTATCTTTTAATAAGGGTTCTAACATTGCAATAAGTAGTCTATAGAAGTTATTGGCTGTGGATAGAATTTGCCGGGTTTAGGCAGATTCTAGTTAGTTGGCAAAAAACAA